AGTATAAAAAACCCAGTAAGAGTGAGCGAGAGCTGGTGAGTGAGCGAGTGAGTGGACGGAGTGAATGAAAGTGATCCACGGTGTAACCGCGGATCGTGTGACTGACTCGTGTTGGTGAGCGTGTAAAGTGGCGAGTGATGGACAGACAGACAGATAGATAGACAGCTAGAGAGGAAAAGACAGAGAAGGAGTAGGAAAGAAAGGATTCGTGGATCAAAGATCGGAGGGAAGCGAGAGCTGTGGCGGTCGCGTTGACGGGGGTGGGTTGTAGGTGTTGGGTAACGATATTTCGTATGAGCTTGTAAAAGAAGGACATACGAGGTTTCATTAGTTTTGTTTTTTTGGTTTTGTTTTACGCTTGACGCATATGCACACGGCAGAGGCGTCTTTCTGAGCTGATCTGAAAAAGGGTTGAAAGCGATTTACAGTTGAGACGCGTATAATCAACGATAATCGATACCCGATTTAAAATTTATTCTCCATCTGCTTGCAAACGAATCGAAACATTCAACTGACGGAGATTGAGTACCATACGAATGTTCTACCGGAGATTTTCATGATATTTAGAGGGATTATTGTAGTCAAATAGTGATAGTTTGTAAAATATTTCATTCTAATGATCAGTTTTCTAAATATTTAAGTTTTGCAAAACCTTCTTGCGTTTAAGTGTTTTACGAAGAAGTGTACCAAGCGAGAGTATAAAGCATCTGCTTCATAAACGGGTGGGTTGGGTTAGGTGAAGAATAAGTAATCTCATAAATATTTTTCAACTTTCATTTCGAATAATTAAATTTCATACGATTGTATTTGATAAGTATTGTATAATAGTTCGTAACTCGTCGTTAAAAAATGTACAAATAATACTTATAGCTATTAAATATACGTAGCAGATTATACACGTTGATTATCTTGTATAGGTAGGTAATTTTCTATGGGGTGATTTTATATGCAAAACTAAAACGAAATATTACGAATGGTGAAATTGCATTTCAGATATTTGCATTTTTTGACTTGCAAGGAAGGCACACTAATCAAGTAGAATTTCGAAGAACAGATTTTATTTCATTTAATGACTTTATTTATCAAATAAAACAAACTTTATTTTATTTATTTTTATTTAGCGATTTTATTCACCAAATAAAGTAAAGTAATGTACATTGAGGAAGTATATCAATTTGGGTGAAAAACTGTTCCACGATGTAACTTTAATTTTGGCAGAAAAATACGTTTTAAGATCTGCTGATCACGTTTTGATCGTTAACAAAAAATATTTATATACTGCGTAGAAATTAGAAATTGGCTAGCTGGTCGAATTAGTTGTAGTATAATTTGCTCCCTCTTATATCTACTTTCCAGTAGATAAGTTTTATACTAACACTAATCAGACTTCCTAATCAATGTTTCATTTCTGCATAGTACGTATGTACATGTGTATGTATGTTAACACGATTACATCTAAACGATTAAAAAGCATTCAATGAAACTTTATATTCACATCTGAAGACATGATTATATTTTGAACAAAATCGGTTTAATGGTGGATACTCTTTGAAATTTTTTTTGACATATATTTGTTATTCATAAACGTTAAAAGTAATGTTTTTGAATAAGTCTTAAAGAAAATTGAATTTTACATAGGAATGTTACATAGTAAATTTATTTTGTATCTTTTTTAATTGAAAAAGAAATTTCATGAAATCTTGATTTTCTCGTGTATTTTCAGCAATTACTTTTAATCATTTTAGATTTTCGTCTTATTTTGGTATATACAATCACCTCTTAAAAGATTTTCCACTTGTAGATAAACACTATGTTTATTTATATTAATATCCTTTACAAGAAATATACATATACAGGGTGTCCCGTAAATAGTGTAAGAACCGGAATTGGGGGTAGGTGAGACGATTCTAAACAACAATTTCCTTTGCAAAAATGTCGGATGGGGCTTCGTTTTTGAATTATTAACGAAAAACACTGACCAATCACGGCGCTCGCCTTCCGCGCGCTCAGGGCCGTCCAACCTCGGAGAGCCACCACGCCGGGTAGGTAGCAAGATGCACGTTGAAGATACATCGAGGAACGAATACAAATAATTAAAAATACTACCACTACAACTGTTACCTAATTCGTTAATTACTACGTAATTAGTACGTAAATTACTAAATGGAATTTATTAATTATTTGTATTTACTGTTTCCGAGAAAGAAGGAATAAAATCTCGGAATTTTTAGGAAATTAACCCTTCGCAACCGAGTGACGCTTCTCGCCAGAGTGTTTTAAAATTAAAAGAAAAATTATTATCAGAAAATTAAAAGAAATACAGTAAGAACCATTTGTAACCGTTTGTTATTAAAAACTGTACTGAAAAAGCAGACTGGATTTCTGCGTACCGAAACATTCCTCGAATGCATAGGGTTAATAGAGAAATAATTGAAATTCGTCTTACCCATTTATCTGCAAATTGACCTACTGCGCTGACAATAGAGCCCGGCCAATGCACCGCTGTCGGTCACAGCAAGGTCAAAAACCCCAACGAAAATCAGCTGATGGGACGGCCCGATCGCTGTACCTGCTTCTCACCCCGAAAAAACTTCACGCACGGTCACTAACACTTTTCACTTTCACATACCGATGTGTTCCGTTGCATCCTTCTTCGATTGTTGCTCCTTCCTGGGTTGATAACGGTGCCTGGATGTTGCTCCCTCCTGAATTGTTACTCCTTCCTGAATGGTAGTTGCTCCCTGAATTGTTGCTCCTTCCTGGATTGTTGCTTCTTCGAACCTTGCTCCCTTCAGGATTGTTGTTCCTTTTCGCTGGGATAATGGGCGCGATACGTGCGGGCGGCTTTCTTCGCGTTCCCCTTGGTGTCCGCGAAAACGAAGAACGAACGATAATCCTCTGCGTTTACGCGTTCCATCGCGTGCGTCCGCTTCTGTTCAGAAACGCGTAGGTTCTGTGAAAAATTTTGACTGACAAATTGCATTTCCCTCCCCGAAAAAAGTTCAGGTAGGGCAACCCTATTTGTCGCGCGATTCGGAGTTACCTGCGATCGACGAACGTGCAGACCATGTTTGCCGCAAATGTTTGCTGCTAAACCGTACGGTCGGCTTTTCTAATACAATTTTTAAGATTCACCGTGAATATTTTTCCATGGAAAATTTGTTATAAAAAAGAAAGAAGAATATACCATGAAAAATTAAATAAAATAAAAAGGTTTTGTTTATAAAAAATAATCCACGAAGAAGGAGTCAATTACATAATAGATAATATGCGATAATAAATAATATTGGAGCAACAAAAAACAAAAATATTTAAAAAGAATATTAAATAATATTTTTTCTAGTTCTTATTTCTCAAATGAAAATTCCAAGAAGATATATTTTTTAATATTTGTGTTAAATATTTTTGTTGTACAATTAAATATGTTATCCATGAAAAAATATTCACGGTGAATCTTAAAAATTCTATTAGAAGAGCCGACCGTACAGTTTAGCAGCAAACATTTGCGGCAAACATGGTCTGCACGTTCGTCGATCGCAGGTAACTCCGAATCGCGCGACAATGGGTTGCCTTACCTGGAACTTTTTCGGGGAGGGAAATGCAATTTGTCAGTCAAAATTTTTCACAGAACCTACGCGTTTCTGAACAGAAGCGGACGCACGCGATGGAACGCGTAAACGCAGAGGATTATCGTTCGTTCTTCGTTTTCGCGGACACCAAGGGGAACGCGAAGAAAGCCGCCCGCACGTATCGCGCCCATTATCCCAGCGAAAAGGAACAACAATCCTGAAGGGAGCAAGGTTCGAAGAAGCAACAATCCAGGAAGGAGCAACAATTCAGGGAGCAACTACCATTCAGGAAGGAGTAACAATTCAGGAGGGAGCAACATCCAGGCACCGTTATCAACCCAGGAAGGAGCAACAATCGAAGTAGGATGCAACGGAACACATCGGTATGTGAAAGTGAAAAGTGTTAGTGACCGTGCGTGAAGTTTTTTCGGGGTGAGAAGCAGGTACAGCGATCGGGCCGTCCCATCAGCTGATTTTCGTTGGGGTTTTTGACCTTGCTGTGACCGACAGCGGTGCATTGGCCGGGCTCTATTGTCAGCGCAGTAGGTCAATTTGCAGATAAATGGGTAAGTCGAATTTCAATTATTTCTCTATTAACCCTTTGCATTCGAGGAATGTTTCGGTACGCAGAAATCCAGTCTGCTTTTTCAGTACAGTTTTTAATAACAAACGGTTACAAATGGTTCTTACCGTATTTATTTTAATTTTCTGATAATAATTTTTATTTTAATTTTAAAACACTCTGCCGAGAAGCGTCACTCGGTTGCGAAGGGTCAATTTCCTAAAAATACCGAGATTTTGTTCCTTCTTTCTCGGAAACAGCAAATACAAATAATTAATAAATTCCATTTAGTAATTTACGTACTAATTACGTAGTAATTAACGAATTAGGTAACAGTTGTAGTGGTAGTATTTTTAATTATTTGTATTCGTTCCTCGATGTATCTTCAACGTGCATCTTGCTACCTACCCGGCGTGGTGGCTCTCCGAGGTTGGACGGCCCTGAGCGCGCGGAAGGCGAGCGCCGTGATTGGTCAGTGTTTTTCGTTAATAATTCAAAAACGAAGCTCCATCCGACATTTTTGCAAAGGAAATTGTTGTTCAGAATCGTCTCAGCTACCCCCCATTTCCGGTTCTTACACTATTTACGGGACACCCTGTATATAACTTTACAACGGTATATATGTAAATTATATTAATTTTTACCTAGTAGAAACAAATCTATTCATATAAAGCAAAATGTCAAAAAGAAGAAGGGATAGGCAAAAGATAAAAGGAGGATTCTTTGTGTATTTCTTTAATTATTATAATATGCATTATTATACTGACTGTAAAAATTAACATTATGTACACATACATTGTCGTAAAGTTAAACATACGTTCAAAGGTAAAAGTATCAAAATAGGTTTTAATAGCTGTATTAAATTAGTAGTATTATTTATATAATTTGAAATTGAGACTTATTACTTGTAAAATAATATCGTATGTTTACCGTTATTTAAAACGGAAGTTGAAAAAAATTTGGAATCACGGGAATGAAGCAGAGGTTTATCGTAATCAATCACGATACTTTCTTGCAAAACATTTAAATTAAAAAATTCTTGCATTACAAATCTTAATTATTTATTAAAATGTGCCTATTAAAAGAAAATATTCTGTAGAGTGTCGACTTTTAGACTCATCCTTCCAAATGTTCGTAAAATCTCCGTCGGAACATTTGTAGTGTGAATGAAATTTGGCAGAATTTTTTTGACAAAATTATCGGTGTTTTGTCCGATCTTAAAAATCGATTACCGTTTCCAAAATCGGCATTGTTGATGCACAATGACGAATAACGGATCGTATGTTTCTATGTACGTAATGTAGTGTGTCTGTGTGACTGTGGACAGAGGCGAGGATGTCAAATTTTCTCAGATTGTCTCTTGTTCGTATGTATGCATTTATAGACGCGCACGTGCGTACTTACAGCTCTCGATCTCGATATTGCAGAGCTGTCGGTCCATCGGAAAGTATTGCAGATTCATTGGACACGATGCTGTGATCGTTAAACTGTAACAAAAGTAAAAATTGATTTTAAAGTGTTACTGTATAATTTAGTCAATTCATTTTTTAATTACTAGGTTGATCCACAAGTTTGTGCAGTTCTCATTTTCTATTGTACGCAACTCACAATATTTGTCCATCGACTATACAGGGTGTTCGGCCACCACTGGGAAAAATTTTAATGAGAGACTCTAGAGGCCAAAATAAGACGACAATTGAGAATACTAATTTGTTGATGGAACCTTCGTTAAAAAGTTATTAACATTTAAATTTCTACCTGTAGAATGGCAATCTGCGAGTAGACCTTACAATCAATGTATTTATTGGGCCCATTTTTCTGGGGCTCTAGAGCTCCGTTAATACGCATTGTTTGAATTTTGAATCATTAAAATCCTCCAATCCGTTCAAGAGTTTTAAAGATACGCTTAAAATTTCAGTAGAATAAGTTTTGGTCAGACATTATGTTGTCACAGGAAACCGTTCGTGGTATATTACGAGACGGAATCCGTTAACGGTTCAGCGTTGCACACGGCGTGGTTTGCACACGGCGTGCAATCGCCCTTTTCGGTTAACGCGATCGCCGATTGTTAATCGAACCGTTCTTTAGACGAGCACCGTGCCGTGCGTTCCTCAGATCGTCGCGAGTTCGCGTCCAGACACAACTGTTGCAGAACATTATGTATTTCGCCTTCTATAATAAAGTTTTCTCTTACAAGGGGAGGTCATACCCTGTCAACCTGGGATTTCAACCAAATTTGGCAGAGTTGTTGGGGCTGATGTCCAAACGCAATCTGTAAAATACTAGACGTTTATGGCCAGCCATTTTGTTAAAAAATGGCCTTAAAGTTTAAAATTTCGAAGTTGTCGGATCGACGTTTTTTTTTTTTAAATTGTAGGTCTCGAAGAGGGGAACACAAAAGTCCAATACATTTTTGCCGTAACATCAATAGTTTAAACAAAAATTTGAGTTTTTGTGACGGGATAAATGCATATGTACCGTATAGTTGGAGCGTATTTTCAGCAGTCATGATAGCCGTGGAGTTAGCGTCGAGGAATTCGGGTCGGAAGACTGGGGTTCGTGTCCCCGGAACTAGAACATTTTGTTTTTTTTCTTTTTTTCGCTTATTTTTGAATTTTTATTTATATTTAATTTTAATTTTTAATATCATGGAAAAAGATGGCTGTTACAAATAAATAAAATACTATTATGGTTATAAATGTTTATTTTCACACATACTTACAAACATATTCTCATATATATTTACATCTCACGTATAAATAAATACAAAAATTAGATATTTATTTCATACGGGTTTCGCAATGCATTGTATGATTTTTATCATAAAAACAGGAAAAACATAATGGTTTCATACACCAAGCGCATGTTATAAATGCTTGTTCTGTACAGCATTTTTTGGACCACGGGTAGCAGTAGATGTTCGAAAACAAGAAGAGGAATTAGGCAATGTACATGTCACTTGCACAAAGTCAGGGAAATTGCAATCTGATACCTATCAATTATTATTGGAAAATATATTAAAACCTTACGTAAAAGCAAATAAATTCTTATTAGTCATCGATTCGTGGGGTGGGCAAACAAATCCAGCATTATATGACAGGATCTTTTATGATCCGGAAGATAAAAATATGGCTACCTGCACGTTAAAAGTGATACCACCAAAATGTACACCCATTTGCCAACCGTGTGACGTGTATTTTTTTAGACAGGTTAAGAACTTTCTTTCAAGACTCCAAAACGCCCTAACATTAATCCACGAAAACAGAGAATTAACCAATAGACAGGATATAATAAAATTACATTCCATAATCCATTATCAATTATCTGCTCCAATTTTTACCGACATGATTAAATATGCATGGTATGCGTCTAAACTCATCCCTCCGAATCATAAAAAAGAAATCTTTTGTAACGTGAATCAAGTATGTTTTCCACACGACCTAAGAAATAAAAAATGCCGTACAGAACAAGCATTTATAACATGCGCTTGGTGTATGAAACCATTATGTTTTTCCTGTTTTTATGATAAAAATCATACAATGCATTGCGAAACCCGTATGAAATAAATATCTAATTTTTGTATTTATTTATACGTGAGATGTAAATATATATGAGAATATGTTTGTAAGTATGTGTGAAAATAAACATTTATAACCATAATAGTATTTTATTTATTTGTAACAGCCATCTTTTTCCATGATATTAAAAATTAAAATTAAAAATAAATAAAAATTCAAAAATAAGCGAAAAAAAGAAAAAAAACAAAATGTTCTAGTTCCGGGGACACGAACCCCAGTCTTCCGACCCGAATTCCTCGACACTAACTCTACGGCCACCATGACTACTGAAAATAAGCTCCAACTACACGGTACATATGCATTTATCCCGTCACAAAAACTCAAATTTTTGTTTAAACTATTGATGTTACGGCAAAAATGTATTGGACTTTTGTGTTCCCCTCTTCGAGACCTACAATTTAAAAAAAAAAAACGTCGATCCGACAACTTCGACATTTTAAACTTTAAGGCCATTTTTTAACAAAATGGCTGGCCATAAACGTCTAGTATTTTACAGATTGCGTTTGGACATCAGCCCCAACAACTCTGCCAAATTTGGTTGAAATCCCAGGTTGACAGGGTATGACCTCCCCTTGTTAGTTATTGTTAGAAACGTAGAAATCAAGGAACGCCTGAAGCAGGCCATGTGCTTCTCCTTAGCGCGCCTCCCCCTCTTAAAGGAGGATCGGCCAGAATGTTTAGACAAAGAAGGACCGTACTGTCAATGGTGCCCTCACGACCCTGGTTTTCTGTCAGGGTACAGAACTGTATTGGCTTTTGCCGTGAGCAGAGATACGCTACAGTTTTAGAAAGCAACTCGTGTCGATTTTATTTAAAACGCCCGACCGCTATCCAGATCCTGATACCGAACTTTTCTTACATTATTGTTATCTATGCATATACTTTCGACCACAGTGCATCTCCTATTGCTATCCCATTAACAATACATTACAGTTTCGGTAAAGAATCATTTTCTCGAAAATGGATAGGATTTCGAGGGTATGTTTATTGACGAAAAATGATTGTAATGAACCCCAGCAGCCAAAAATAATTTTTTTAGAATGATTTGAAATTTTTTAATTTCGCCGAAAATTTCGGCACATGCTTGAATTTTTTTCTCGGAAGTGCGTAGGAATCCAGGGGTATGTATATTCGCCAACAATGATTGTAATTGACCCCTACAACCGAAAATAATTTTTTTACAATGATTTGAAATTTTTTAATTTCTACGAATAATTTGTCTACTTACTGAACTTTTTTCTCGAAAGTGGATATGAATTCGAGGGTATGTCTATTCACCAAAAATGATTGTAATTGACCCCCGCAACTGAAAATAATTTTTCCAGAATAAATTGAAATTTTTTAATTTAATTTTTTAATAACTTTTTAATGAAGCCTCAATCAACAAACTGGTATTCTTGTTTTTCGTCTTATTTTGGACTCTAGAATCTCCCATTAAAATTTTTCCCAGGGGTAGCCGAACACCCTGTATAGGGTGATCTATGCAATTTGTGTAGTCAACTTTGTTTTTTTAAATGAAATACTATACTTTTTATACCAAATTATGGAAGAATACTAAATTCTGAGTAAAAAAGTGTTCTAAAAATCTGTATTAGCCCTAATGAGTAATTCTTTGTAGTTCTTGAAAATTATTTTCATGTTATATCAAATTTCAGACTAAACTTCATCACAGATTTTTGCAGAACAGTAAAAATTGTCAAGAAATAAAGTGAAATTACTCATTAATATATTTCAAATGTCATTTTAAACCTATAACTAGATTGTGTAAATATGTTAATAATCCTTGTAATTCTGTTGATTTTTTAAATTCTTCGATCTATCCATGACCCTATCGCTTCTTAACAGTGCTTAACCATGCAATAATGTCAACGTCCACTATTCGTTTCATTCATAGTTAATTCTCTTAAGTTACAATCTTCTATTTTTAATACGTAACTTTAATCATATACATATGTTTCCTATTTTATATTATTATGATGTTTGTAATAAGAGAGTTACTGTCTGTTTAAATAAATAAATAAATCGTATACGTTATTTTAACTCGATTAATCAATAGTTTCATTCAGAATTGAGCAAATTTTATTCACGAATAACGAATAAATATTTTAGTTTCACTCGTGCATTAACTTTTTGTTTGCAACTTCATTCGCTAAGATATTAATTGAAAAAATCCTTTAATGAATTCTAATTTATACATACATTTACAGTAGGCACATAAACGGAAATTAATTTAGAAACGAATCTGATATTTTTTATTCGTGAATAAAATTTGTTCAACTCAGGTTTTAATTCAACAGAAGGGAATTTTGTTATGCATACTAATACCAGATTTCCATTGATTTCCGTTAACGTTCTTCGTGTTGTAATTAGCTTTGATTAATTTTTATCAACTTTGACGTTCCAGATCCGAAAGTATATGTAACATAAAGAAAAGAAAGGGGGGGAACACAACAATTTAAAAGAATAGGTGATATAAAGACAAGAAATGCATGGATTACACTGTTCAACACGAATTTTGTTTTTCAATACCCACTAGGTGATTCTTGTAGAGCTTTGTACCCTAAACACGAATCTGAAAATGGAATTGCTGTATCACCCTCAGTTTTCGAAAAACACGAGTTTTTGTGAAAACGTATAATTTTGGGCAAAAGCAAGGTATTACGCGAAAATTAAAAACATCAGAGAGTTCCAATTAATCTTAAAAGATAGAGGAGAGATTCCTGAATATACTAACATCGATAGTTATAATATTTTGTACTTTTGAACGGTTGTAAATGATCGCCAAAGTTTGAAAAAGTGTCGAAGTACATACTTTATACACAATACGTTTACATATTTACGAAAAGTTCTTTACCTGACACGAAATCTATACACAGGATCTGATTCTGCAGACATTTCTGAAGAAGAAACTGTCCAACAGAAGTGTAAAAGCTGTTCTCAATTGCCACAGGTCGAGAAAATGTGTATTTGCAACGCGTGCACGACGTTTTACCGCCACGTGGCCATCGCTCGCTTATCTCGGCGCGGCAGTGCCGTAGCTACGCATAATGGATGCGACACCGATAATATATTAGGCTCCTAATTCCTGTATATGTTTATCATTTTTTATTTTTTAATCTGTTTGTGGATTTGTACAAAACATTTCTCGATCATTCCCATTTCTAAACAATTTCGATGTTCATTGTATATATATGAATGGTTTTTTAAATATAAAGCCGTAAAAAAATAAACAACATTTTATTGTTAGGTTGCCTCACAGAATAGGAATAATATTCCTAAGAGCGAAGTGTGAATAGCAAGGATTTACTCCAGATCTTTCTTAGAAAAGCGTACATGTTCGAGTGATTCCATTGACAAGTTTACATGGATTTTGAAAATATAATTCAGTGATTAGTATCCTAGAGTATACAAATATATTAAGCAATAAAAGTTACAAAAAAAAATCAAACATACTATATACAGAGTGCATATCCTATTGCACCATTATGTATACCAGTTTCGCTTGTAGGTAGCTACGGCACTGCCGCGCCGAAATAAGCAAGCGATGGCCGCGTGGCGGTAAAAACGTCGTGCACGCGTTGCAAATACACATTTTCTCGACCTGTGGCAATTGAGAACAGCTTTTACACTTCTGTTGGACAGTTTCTTCTTCAGAAATGTCTGCAGAATCAGATCCTGTGTATAGATTTCGTGTCAGGTAAAGAACTTTTCGTAAATATGTAAACGTATTGTGTATAAAGTATGTACTTCGACACTTTTTCAAACTTTGGCGATCATTTACAACCGTTCAAAAGTACAAAATATTATAACTATCGATGTTAGTATATTCAGGAATCTCTCCTCTATCTTTTAAGATTAATTGGAACTCTCTGATGTTTTTAATTTTCGCGTAATACCTTGCTTTTGCCCAAAATTATACGTTTTCACAAAAACTCGTGTTTTTCGAAAACTGAGGGTGATACAGCAATTCCATTTTCAGATTCGTGTTTAGGGTACAAAGCTCTACAAGAATCACCTAGTGGGTATTGAAAAACCGAAAAAAAAATTGAATTTGTAGAACAGTGTTATCAGAATATAATAGAGTTAATAGCAAAACACTCGAAGGTGGTTAGAGTTAGAGTTTATACATAGATAGATATAGGGGAATGGTACAGGTGGGGCGGAGGAAAAAAGAGATGAAAGTGGTGTCGACCGATGCTGAGAATAGTTGTGGCTGATACAATTGCTCCCTCGAGTGTCTTGGTTGCTCCTTGGCAGTAAGGTATGTCGAACTTGGGTAGAAACCTCGCTTGAGAAAATCTAGTCCACTACTCGAAAATTCTCCTTCGTGGTTCGATTTACTAACGTGTCTGTCGCCGATGCACAGTGGTCTGGCAAGTGGTAATTCTTGGCGAAAAGTCAAGATTTTATCAGATCTTCTTGAAACTTGGTAATGAAAGGTTTACGAGGTCGTTGATATCAAATCTGAAGTAAACAATTCCAAATTCGAGATATCAGCTTTAATGGACGATGCAAAGTGGTATTGTCACATAACAATTTATTTCTTTTCTTTAATATAAATCTCAAGCTCTGACGCCTGATTTTCATTAACTATATTTGCTCTAACGTTTTTATTGGTAACTAAGATAAAAAATGTAGGAAAATATAACTAAAAATTATGAATCGTTAAATGTTAGATTCAAATATCCTCAACATTTGTTAAGAATTTTTTTATTTTATTATTAAATTGTGAGTTTTTTCCTTGATGCATATTGTTTCTATACTACGGTTGTTCTATATTAAATATTCTGTATTCAAACATTTAGACAACGTCAAACTAGATTCTGATGAAATATAGGCAATAATTATTATATTTGTTAGTTATATGTTTGATTGTTTTTTGTCTCAGTTTGTTATTTCATTGTTAATACTTAGAGTTTAAATGAGTTCACGTAATGGAAAAACATTACAAATACTATTTTAAATAATAAATATTTTAGAATTGAAATTAAATAATATTTTAAATAAGAAACAATATTACTGAGAATAAAATATTTTTATTTTTAGAGCTCATAAACTAAACCATAAAATGAAATAAAATACTTTGTTTTATTAATACATGCCAAAAAAAGAGTTCTGAATTCGAAAATAAATTGTGAAAAGAAATAGCACAAAAAGTAATATTTACAAACTAAATTTATTTATTTTCCGTTACGTACTATTAGCGTATAACGAGTACGTACTCTCATAATCAGTGAAAAATGTAGTACTTAATTTTATGCTTCAGGTAAGAAAAATACAGATATTTTACTCTTTAGTTCATTAAAATAAACATATTTTATATGCTGATTATAAATTAAATAGATAAAACACTTTATACTACATATGACATAAATATAATACTTTCCTTTAAATAATACTTTCCTTTAAATAAAATACTATATCAAGTACTACTATAAAGAATTTATTCAATCATTTATGGCAAAACGACCCTGTTGGAATCGTAACAACCATTCATGTGCTGCTTTATTACCGACATAACCTTCTTCATAGATGCCAAAAATGTTTTAGAAAGCTACTTTAGAATTATGATTAAATTCATACAGTAAAATCTGTTGGAAATGTTCATTTTTATTAATCTGTAACTCCAAAGTTATCGACTATGCCCTTTATTATTAGCACAGAATGGAAAACTTCACAATAATCTAAAAGAAAAACACAAAAGCTATTAAGGGGGTATTCTAGTATAGAGTTTCATTTCTTTGGTCTTTCTAGAAATTCTTTTCACAAAAAGTTTCTTAATTTCGACATTTTGTTTACATATTTATATATGTTTTACGCATGTTTACAATTTTTTTTAAGTGAAAATAATCAAAACTGATTGAATTATATGTAGTTGCAAGAGGTTCCTTTAAAAAAAGGTGTCCTACTAGCTGACACGATTGCGATTAGATGTTTTGTTTATCTGGAATGAAAAAATCAAAAGGCGTCTTGATTAGTACGATTGTGAGTTTGGTGTGAATCACAATTATAAAAAGGAATTTTCCTTATTGTCTTTTTAGCTCGTTAAAGATGAAAACAATCTAGAAAATCAATATTTGAAATTCAAAGTACCGATACTTTCTACATTTTCACTACTTTTTTCATTTTGATTCACACCATAATCATAATCATACTAATCAAGAATACTTTTGATTTTTTCGTTTAAGAGAAACAGAATAATCGGAATCGTGTCAGCCAGTAGGACAGTTTTTTTTATAAAGAAACCTTCTTCAATGACATATAATTCAGTTAATTTCACTCGAGAAAAACTGTAAACATTCATGAAACATAAATAAATGTGTAAACAAAATGTCGAAATTAAGAAACTTATATTTTTTTTTGTAAAAAAATCCCCAAAAAGATCGAAATAAATGAAATTCTAGACTAAAATACCAAAGCAGTCAAAGTGACTCATTGATAATTCCTAATAAAAATTATAAAAAATTTAATCGACTAGATTATTAAAAATTTACTGTAATTTTCTATAAGAGAATGAATAAACACTCATACCCATTACATTATACATTTCTTCGCATATCTATCGTTTTAATTTCTTTGGTACAAATAAGTACACTATAATTGTTCGTAGTTTTAGTGTTAAAGGTATATAATATACAGGGTGTTCGACGTCTATACGGACAAATTTTAATGGGAGATTCTAGAGGCCAAAATAAGACAAAAATCAAGAATACTAATTTGTTAATTGAAGCTTCGTTAAAAAGTTATTAACGTTTAAAGTTTACGACAGCCTTACAGTTTTGTGAGTGAGAGCCACTAGGACCGATCTGTCGCGACGTATCATGCACCGAGATTATAGTTCTACAGGCGGAAATTTAAACGTTAATAACTTTCTAACGATGCCTCAATTAATAAATTAATATTATTGATTTTCGTCTTATTTTGGTCCTTAGAATCTCCCATTAAAATTTTTCCGTATAGACGTCGAACATCTTGTACAGTTAATAGACAAATGTTGTGAGTTACATTCAATATAAAACGAAAGCAAGCAATATCAGGTAGTTTCGTTTACTAGAAAGTGTTTATAATTAATTAGGTAATGGTTATGACTCACCGTATACTACGCGTGATGCTTCCTGAGTGATGAATACGAATGAACTCGTTGCTGGTGGTAGCGATGTGAAAGTATGACTGCTTCTCGTTGACGAAGAAGGTGTCGGGCACCCAGATGTTCTTGATAAACTCCGAGCCGACGCTCAGCGTTTCGACGCTCGGCCGTTTCTTGAACGCGAGCCTCGGGTCCGTCCAGAATTGTCGAAAGTAAAAATCCAGCGTAAAGTCCTGATACGAGACACGAGGCGTTTTATTAGATTGTGAATCGTCGGGTCGCGAATCACGCGCAAGAACAACGTGGAAAAACGTAAAACACCAGCGGGAATACCATAGAGTTCGCGCGCGGACCGTGTTTCGTTTTCAACCGACACAATGATCTAAATGTTACAATAGCTCCCGCGAGCCGTACGGACAGTGAAACGTGACACGTAAACTAACAGCATTACGCAACAATGCATTCGTTAAAAATAACGAAATTCCGTTGGTACGTGAGGAAGAAAGCAAATGCAAACCGATATCGTGGCTGGATAACGGGGACCGCCTATCCGATGCTCTCATCCTGGTTTATACGAATAAATAGATTTGCATCGATTAAACTCCCTGATTTATTTGATACATGGCACGCTCAAAATGCGCGGTTTATCTGCAAATACACCGGGTTCGGGTCTCGAATATTCGTCTGATTTAAAACGGCTACACGATTGCTTTATGCAGGGTGTTCTATCTTGTTCGACCTTCGTAAATACCGCTGAAATTATTCGCGACACTTAAAACTGTTTTGGGTATAAATTGAAGAATTTCGATGCACTTGCTAATTTCCTAATATTTTCATGTTACGAAAATGCTTTAATTTGTGGAACCAACAAAATTGAGATTTTTATTTAGTGTTATGTCGTATCAACTATTGTGAAAGAATTCTTAACAACTTGCCGTGAAATAAAAAATAAAATAAAGTTGTGATATTCATTATTATCTGTTGCATCTTTATGTTTACTCGATAGTGGTGTAAGTTACTTTTTCCCTATGCGTGACGACAGAAATAACATTGTCATAACTATCTCTGTGTACCTGAAAAATATTATAAATTAATAGAAAAATGATAAAAATATACTGGATACGATTCATAAAAAATAGCTCCATATAAAATGTTTCGTGAAACCTCAATGGATTGTGAAGAGGAACTTCATGCTTTAGATCTTTCGCCAATTCATTACGAATATTTTAAAGTTATTCAAGTGTGCAATACAAAAACTTTGTACTTAAAGCAGAAAATGAGTAAATATTCATTAAAATAATACTTATAAAGTTGTAATCATAAAATTAATAATACAATTCTAAAAATAAATTTATTTTTTTTGTTTTCTTAATGGAATTTAAAATTTTTGTGTAATCATAAGTTATCGAGTAGAATATATTATTAATTCTAAAAGTGACATAAGTCATTCGACTATTCCAAACACACTTTTGAACAAATTATTCATGAAATTTAATTAACTTGGATAAATTTCACATTAGTAAAACATTCAATTGTTGATACATATTGCATTGCGGAAATCGAGGAAGTAGATGAAAAATGCTCGTAAACCAAATTGAACTTGTGGTATAGTAATTAGCAGCTCTCTATAAGGTAACAATTTCTACCAAGTTCCAACCCCCTATCTTTAGTGTAGAGGTAGAAATAGAGTAAAACGTGTTATCCAGTATATTTGTTATAACTTTTGTTTTAACATATGGAATTTAGTACTATTCTTTTAGATGTTGAGATACATATTAGAAAATTCTTTTAAATTTTATGACTGCAAATATGATTCTTAAAAAATTTTGAAGTCCAAAAATATTAATTTTTTTTATTGAAATTATGGAGGGACTACTTTTATATTTTCTCAGATGAAACATTTTTCCATGATTATTATTACAAAATTTTTTCTGATTTTTTTAAGTGGTGCAATATTGTATGAAAAATTAGAAATCGCTGGTTTGTCTCTTTTCGCGCATAGAAGTTGCTTGTGTAATTGATGTACATATTTTTTTGTTAAACGAACATTTTATACATCTTTAAATAATAACCCCCCATTTCCGGTTCTTACACTATTTACGGGACACCCTGTATATGTATATATTAGTAACTGAATTTTATTCGATTGGTGATTTCAAAAATGTATATGGACATACAAATCACGAAGATAGATGACTCCCAAATACTTTTGAAAAGAAAGAGCGTGTTTCTTCCTATTAATTTTAAATAAAACATTGACAAGCTTATGCTTACGTAACATTTTTCTTTGTTATTTTTATTTGTGAAATATTTTTCCGAAGTTTGCACGATATTTGTCACAAATTCTAAAACCTGCAGAACTATTAACCAAACTTTTTGACGTCGAGCAAGTAAATCCCGTTATTAATGACGACAGCAACGAAGATTGAAGAAACCATGCATACTTTCGCCCCAAACAACATCCTGATGAATAAGTCGTCCCAGGATAAAATTCATGTATTTATTTGAGAAATATACATATTTCAAGCGGCATGAAATATTCGTTTAACAAAAAAATATGTACATCAATTCCAGAAACAACTTCTCTGCGCGAAAAGAGAAAAAATATCGGTTTTTAATTTTTTATATAATGTTGCACCACTTTAAAAAATCTGAAAAAATTTTGAAATAATAATCATGGGAAAATGTTTCACCTGAGAAAATATAAAAGTAATCTCTCCATAAATTCAATACAAAAATTAATAATTTTAAACTTTTCAATATATTAAAAATGCAGCCGAAAAATCTGAAAAAATTTTGTAATATGCATCCACATACCTAAAATATCTCTGACTGTTAACATAATTTTCCATATGTTAGAACAAAAGTTAGAACAAATAAACTGAATATCACGTTTCACCCTATTTCTACCACTTTAGGAAAGATAGAGAGTTGAAACTTGGTAGTACATAATTGTTACCTTGTGGAGAGCTATCAACTAGTATACCACAAGTTCAATTTGATTTAAGGGCATTTTTCACCTACTTACACAGGTATACTCTTTAACAAAAAATATTTTTCAATATGGTCAAACGCAAATGTTTAAATATCTCGAAACGGCAAATATACGTATGACTTATTTCACTTTCATAATAATCGGTAGATATGTTCTGTTATGAGTATATGGGACTACTGTAAACAAAAAAGTTGTACTTTGTTTTGCTTTTTCTGGTGCGAGTATGGAGGTTAAATTTGATAAGTATTCAGGGTGTCTCAGGTTTTAATGGTCAAACTCAGTCAATATATTTTATAGGTCTAAATAAGAAAAAAGTACGATAGGTAGTTTTGACAAAAAATATTTTAAAGTTAAAGTCTATTAAATCTTAGTCTTTTTTTAGTCAAGATTTGGATAAAATATAAGATATCTAATTTGATGAGTTGATACAAACAATTTTGATTAAAATTTACATTTTGACCTCTCTGTGAGTCCTGTACAAGATACAACAGTTTTTTTATTTATAAACCTGAATGTACATTATTTGGCTAAGAACATTTTTCAACTTTTAACATATTAAAAATATCAAAATAAATGCATTTATTATTTACATATGTTTCTTTAAGCGGAATAAAAGTAGGTATCATGAACATAATTTAACCTTGTATGAGAATCGAAACTATTATGTTTAATTTACTTTATTTAGGCAGGAATATGATGTTAAAAATATGGAACCCACCAAACTTGTATATTTATAATTATTTATTTCAACAGGATGTGTTAGGTTTGAAAACTTTCATATAAATCATCATATATACGCAATGAGACATTTATTTCCCTTCAAAGAACATGTACCAATAAAATATTTGTTTATTTTGTAGACACTTTGATAACTTTTGTCTATTAACAATATATTTCATTTAATATTGTACACTTGGTTGGTACACATGAAAATAACTTGTACCGATTCATTGGATACGTGGCTTTTTATTTTAAATTTAAAAAAAAATTAAATTTGAAATTAAAAAATTTGAAATTAAAAGTAGAACTAGTCTCACCATTAAAAATACTGTCTGTAATTATTCCTTTTTAATTTTTGATTATAAACTGCGAATAGAATTAATGTTTATGGTGAAAATTTTTAAATAAATTTGTATAGTTTGACGATGTCCTGACAAAAGAAACTTCTGAAATAGCCTTGGAGATCATATTTGTATGCATCAGTGCAAAAAGTGGTTATTTAGAATTATTTTATTATTTTTCTTTCATCATTAACTGTGTAGTTAAACTCCCATTAGTTAAAGTTCACAATGTTTTCTATTTTTATTTTTTACAATAGCCCACTGTACTTGTTATAAACTTTATGGTTAGATTAATTGTAAGTAATAACACTGACTTCATTCTTGGAGGCATTTCGAATATTTGAAAATCTTCATTACAATTTCTTTGCATTAATCCATGTATTAGATTAAGGAATCAGTTCATTTGGATTCTTATACAATATTTATATAAATAATTTAAATAGTGATAAAAATTGTTGTTATAACTTTTTGAAAGCCTTTGTGTGTCGTTTGTATAATTTTGCAGTATAAATTCTATCTAAAGTGTTCATGAACAATTCAAATACGTAATTGTTTCACAAATTCATTTCCTTGTGCAATTATTCACTTCAATGCATTTTTCAAAACTCAAAATAAGTGAAAATTTTATGACAAATGAATATTGTAAAACTCGACAAAAAATAAAAATTTGATGGCGTATGAATATTATAAACATTGAAACAAACGAAAATTTAACGGTAAATAAGTTTGGTAGAAACAAATGAAAATTTATTCCATGAATGACTTTTATAAAACTGGAAGTAAATGGAAATTTGTCCGATTCATGTGGGTGGATCAATACATCATTGTTGATATAATATTTTTAGTAAAAACGTAGTCAGATGTCGTTAGGATGGAAGACAATTTTTGTCATAATTATTGAAGTGACTTGTAGCAGAGGTTATAGAAAATGGACAATAAACGACACATATATTTTAGGTTACGTTTAATGCATATAGCACGTATTGTTGCATACATCGTAAGTACTGGTACTGCCCAGTGTTATACTATACTAAAACAAAAGACGGCGCGCACGCCTGCCAACGAGGTAAAAAGAAATACCTCCAACATGCGCATGTTTGCCAACATGGGAATGAGAAACATTTCCAACATGACTTTATTGCTTTTCTTATCACCACTAAGTAATTGATTTAATTTT